TCATATGATTAGAAAATTCAACGGACTAATCATTTTATTATTAAGAATTTACATAATCTATCACATTTTCAGGTAGCTACCAATGTGATCTATATTGTTTCACAGCATATAAAGCTGCAAGACCTGTTAGACCTTTTCTGTAAGCATTCATAAACCTTCAAGAACGACGAGCATATCATTTAATTTGTTCCAAAGAAACAGAATTTAATGCTTCTGGAACTATTTTTTCTAATGCTTTGAATGAATAATCACAATTATTTCGAGCATATCGTTTAGCTGCACCCCAGAACATCTCAATATAATTAAGTTCGCAATAGAACTTTGGATAAAATATAACCTTATGTCTCCGATTTTCAATAACCTCTTTTACTAATAGTCATTGTACTAAAAAATCAGGTTGAAGTAAAAGCACTCGAACTGTACAACAATTAATTAAAATTGGTAATTGCTTCTTGCAATCATTACAAATTCGTTTCAATTGACTTTGAGACCACAATTCACGCTCTTCTAAAACTAATTTTATACCTTTTGGCTGTCCACTTGGAAGATGTATTGATTGTACTGTTCTATCAAGCATTAATCCATCTTTAAATTTCCCTTTACCACCAGGTTTAAGATTCATTCGTGAAGCAATAAGAGTATCTTTGGCATATGTTGTGTGACTTGTTGCATTATCAAAAACAAATATACCAATATTACCTGGATGTAATTTGTCAAATATAGGAATTGCTTTTTTAGTTATCTAACATTTATTAAAAGGTAAAATTAGAATATATATTTTTTTTAAAAATAAATTAATTAATTTATTTTTTTTTCTAATTTTTTCAATATTTTAAAAATAACTTCAATAATTTTATTTCATAATATTAACTTATTCTTTATTTTTATTTTTATATATATCATATCCCTGTTTAATTAAATCATCTGTTTTCCACCATCCATCACGATTGATTCCCGACTTCATTATAACACATGCTCAAATTTTAAACGCCTATCAACTTCTGTAAGAAAATCACTGACATATAAACTAAGTCCCACCCCTTTTTTCAAAGTGATTGATGTCTGACTGGTCTCCAGTAAGTTTTTTTTCCATCATTGACATAAAAAATAGATTCGTCATATGTTATTAATATATGACGTTTCTCATTTACATCTAAAACTGGCTCTTCTAAAATCATTATATCATCATTTAATGGTTTTAGCTATATATGAAGTCGAAATGGATCATTTCGGATATCCGAAATGGTCGAAATGGTCGAAATCAATTTTTTTTTTTGATACTTTTACTAGGCAAACACAAGTGGTATTATATTTGGATGCATACCCTTCAACAGAAATAGATATGTCTTACAATACGTCAAATGCCACTATTAACCCCCCTTTGCTATTTTTCAAACCAGTGTGGGTTGGCGTTAAACCTA